TTTTTTTTTTTTTTAAGATTTTGTCTATTCAAATTTTTGCTAACAATAAAAAAGCTTTTCTCTAAATACTTAATTTGCCATGTATCCTTAAAGTACTTAAAAAATACTAAGGCCAAAGAAAGTCATTGAAAATAAAAGAGATCTCACAGTTGAAGACTTGCTTCTATAAAGTTTCTAATTAAAGATAACATAAGTTGTGTTATAGAGAAAGAAAACATTGGTGGAGGGAATATGAAGGGAAGGAGGGAAGGAAGATAGGAAAAAAGGAGGGAGAGAGGGGCATGGTAAGAAATCAAGAAATAGACATTTATCGAGCACCCACTGTGAGCCAGAACGGTGTTAGGCACTTTTATCAAGCATTATGTCTCTTGCTCAGAGCCCTAGTAGCACACTGGTTAAGAGCTAACCAAAAGGTCGGCAGTTTGAATCCACCAGCCACTTCTTGGAAACCCTATGGAGCAGTTTTACTCTGTCCTGTAGGGTCTCTGAGTCGGAATCAACTCGATGCAACGGGTTTGGTTTTGGTCCGGATGTCTCTTACTCACTAAATTCTCACAACAATTCTGTGGTCCCACTTTATCTGTAGAGGAGGAGGCAGTATATTTTGCCATATTGCACTTGATATTTATGACAAGGCAGAGATACTAAGAAGGCTACATAAATCCTGCCATAAAAATTGGCACAGATTTTGTTCTATAGAGTTTTTTTCCCCAAAGTCACGTTTTTGATTCATAACCATCGCATTTCCTTGGCACTAGAAATTGCTCTGTCCCTGGAAAGATGAAGCTTTGTTGCCTGACCCTCCTCCATATTAAGTGATGAGTTTGGCTTTTTGCAAATTAATACAAGATTTAGTCTCCTTCAGGAATAGTACTTGGGTTTAGGTATAGTCCTATTACCAAGAACAAGCCTAATTTAGAGTTTTCCTGGATGGTCTTCAGGTAGGTAAAAAGAGAAGGGCCTGACAGCATTTTAATTCTGATGTGGAAGTGGTTCCAGAAGAGTTAGGAATGGAAAGAAAAAAATGAAGCCATTTGCTACATCATTGTAGGAGAAACTTCATGAGGATTTTTAAGTATTGCCAGTATTTAAAAATGGCTGGAATAAAACACAGAATATCATAGCACCTCTTTACCAGATAGCATGAAATTGGTCTGCTTCCTTTTTATAATATCCTTGGTTAAATCTGCAACTATCTCTTGACTTTATTCCTTTATTTCTTGACTTTCTCTCTCATTTGCTCTCTCTCTCTTTCATGTAAAACTACTCTGCTTGTCCTAAGAAGTTCGAGTGAACTTGTCAGCCAGACATGTTCTGCTCATAGTTAATTACATACAGTTTTCAAGCAGTATGCCAGTCTCTGAAAATAAGCACTGTGTTTTTCCTGTGAGTAGTTCTTAGATGAACCTGAAAGATTACTGGATGATCAAGACCAATAAAACTTAGAGCAGCCAAAACAAACAAAAAGTAAGTTCTGTATCTTCTTTACCGTCTCCATTTTGTTGGGTCTTCACTGACATATTTCTTTTAGAGCAGCTGGGCATTTGCTATGGCAGATACTTGTGGTCACTGGCTCATAAGTGTGGAGGGTAGCAAAAGAAAGGAGGAGTAACAGAGGGGATGGAGAAAATGAGGTTAGAAATACAGTGTAGCTAAGTAGATAAAATGAGGCATGATAACCTTTTTAATGACTAAATCTGAAATTACTTATTTTTTCCTGACTGAATTAATCATAGTATTGTGAATGTCAAAGAAATAGGTAAAAATCATCAAAGTGTCTTTAGCATATAGTTTGAGAGAAGTGTAACAATATAGATTCCCATATTATTATGGTTGGTGTTTTGGGAGGTGAAGCTGTGCATCTGTAGCTAACATTTTCTTAATCCTTAACAGTCTATTATAATTAATCAATAGATTGAAGCTCAATTAATCCTTATTAGTCTATTATAATCAATTGACTGCAGTTCAGAATAGTTTGCCACTCAGATATATATGTTCAGAACAGTCTGAAAAAAATAAAATTAGTCTTCAGTGTTTGTCTT